GCACGGGTACTTATGTTCCCGAGAGGCACTATCTTGGAAAAAGTGCCACTGATTGTTATTCATGCCCGTATGGTAAGAATCTTGGTTGTTAACAGTTACCTCTGACTCAGATTTTTATTCGGGAATTGATTATTTGAAGTTGAGTCGCTTCCCACTTGAAAGTCATGTGAACCAAAATAAGTGTTTCTATGATTAGGGATTCAAGTTTAATATCGCCAGGGGGGGCTGGAGGATTTCGGGCGGAGGGGGAAATGGTTTTCAGTGGGAAACGAGGCGGGTCAGTCGAAAATAACAGTAAAAGGGGGGAACTAAAAGATATTGGCTACTAATGAGGGGCAATCATAAAAATGATACAGAGCTTTGTGGGGGAGGGGGAGGGGCCAGGTAAATTTTCTTGTGACACCGCCAAAATCCTCTGACAACTCTAAACAATAGATAGTTACAGCCCCTTCTGATCAAATGACTCCATAGCGCTCATTCCAATTTATTTGAAAAGTGACTGCCAGCACTTTCAATTTCTGTGACATTCTTCCATAACCAATGCAACGACTTCCGTGACATTCAACTAGGACATTCATTCATATTATAAAATAATTTTTGAGTAGTTTGTCATTCTTTTCATCGATGCTCAATCTGAAATTTTTAAAAAACTGTAAATGCACAACGATCTTTAGATACCTAAAAGCAACCCCCTGTAAGCCTACCTTAACACTTTGACTACTAGCTCCATTTCCATATTTTTTCATATTCTTCAGAGTCATAATTAAAGTGGGTGTTGAAGAAAGTAAAGCTGTTATCATTAACCCGAATTTCATCAATATCCCCGACTTAGCAAGAGAGTAATCTGAATGAAATTTCCATGTCATGTAAATTGTGAGACTTCCCACTACTTTGTGTTCGTGGTCTATCTAACAGAGAGAAGATTAATGAAAGTTTTGACCTGATATTTCCAGGTGCTATTAATTGTTTTTTTTGTTGTTGTTGTTGTTGTTGTTGTTTTTGTTTTTTGGGGTTTTTTTTAGTGTATCTTAATAGTTCGACATTCGCTCTCGATACATAATACAGCATTATGTTTTCGCTTCTTGTCGTGACTCTACGGAAGACAGCAAAAGACGATAAACTAGCTATCATTTGAGGACTACGCATTTGAGACTACATCATTTGAGGACTACTGAATTTCTTCTAAAACGCCTTTCTTGACCTTCTTTAATATTACTACTCTTGAATCTGAAATAAATTTCAACAGACTCTTTAAGAATGTACAGCATAAAGTGTTCTATAAATCAAACAGAATTGCAATCGAAGAGAGTAAAACTACTTTTTCGGAATATATCAGTTACTAAACACCTGCACATCGTAAAACTTACTGTCAAACAATGGCTCACACAGTCACTAAAATAATTCTTTCTTTCACATTGTTATTAATACGGCTTTCGTAAAATCCTTTGCACCATCATTTGATATACATGAACACATTTGTCTTCTCATCAAACAGGTACCCGGACTAACGAGTCTGCAGGACATCGTGCATGTAACTGTCTCAATAATTTCTACCGCTTGGAACGTTTTGGTCCTTGCACCACTTGTCCAAGTTATGTAATTAACTGTGAGGAGGACGCAGCAATATTGGCGCCAAATTATTTTTGGAACTGGAGTAGCACTGAAAGAAAGGAATATTACACGGAATTTACACTCACATTTACACTCATAATGAGAGTTATAATAAAGCCTTTTCCACTTTCGAAGGGCCATTTCCAAAGCCCGTAAAGTGCCCCTATCCAGACTCGTGCAAAGGCGGAATTAACTCAACATGCAAAACAGGATACCAGGGTATCCTCTGTGCAACATGTTCCTCACGCTACTATCACAGATTCAACAGCTGTTTACGTTGTCCCGAGATGTTAGTTACGATTATTTCCTGTTGTGTGATCATTTTTCTTTTTGTCCTGCTGTTTGTCATTGTTTTCTGGGGCGACTCAAGACGCGCAGAAGACAATCGTACTGTTGCAGATGTCGTTATGTCCTGCATCAAGATCGCTATTGGATTTTATCAAGTTCTCGGTGGCATTTTCTCGGCATTGCTGCAAGTCCAGTGGCCAGTAGTACTTGTATCTATAACAGAATACTTGAAGTTTGTGGAAGGAAACATTTTGCAGTTCGCCCCACTGAGCTGCATTCACCTTGTGCTCCGCTTGGACTCATTTATTCAATTTGTCCTCTCTATTGCTGTAAACGTTTTGGTTATATCTTTGATACTGCTTTACCTCTTGGTAAAGAAGCGTCTCATTAACAGGATAGAGAATTCCACAATAGAAAACGCCTCAGAGGGAATAGAAAACTCTACAGAAATACTAGTGTTTTCCACTGAGGAAAACGCACCCCAAAGAATGGAGAATCGCACAGCTCGTGCGATGGAAAATTCGAAAAAAGAGAAAGTCGCTCAGTTGGAGAAGTCGTGCTACCGAAACATCTTTCTCTTCCTCCTGTTGTCCTACCCGATGACGAGCTAGAAGATAAAAAACATTCTGCCCTTGCCTGGAGTCTGTGTGAACGTGTGCTTCGCCAACAATGACAACGATTGTAGTTCTCTTCTGAAGGCCGACTATTCCATTCGTTGTTTTACTTCCCGACACGCCGACTTTTGGCACATCGCTGCTGGCTTTGCACTGTATTCCATTGCCTTCCCGATTCTCCTGCTGGCACTCATTTGGAAATATCGAACTGACTCACAAGGGAACAAACAGATTTCCTTTGGCTTGAAAGTGTTCTATGAAAACTATAAGGACAAGTATTGGTTCTGGGAGATAGCTGAGATGTACCGGAAGCTGATCTTTATTTCAGTCATTCTTCTGTTTGACTCCGAAAGTGATTCTCAAATTGGCTTTGCTGTGATGGCAGCAAGTGCGTCAGGAATTTTGTACACTATCTTTCGACCGATAAAAAACAAGTTTGAAGATCGACTACAAACATTTGTGCTTTGGGTGATATTTTTTAATGTCTGTCTTGGTGCAGTTTACTCGCGACCAAATGTCAAGGACAGTGGTGGAGGAAACAATTCTACCTTTATAAACGTGATGTTCTTGATTTTCAACAGTGTTGTGCTGATCATGGTAATCGGTAAGTCCTTTACTCCCTTTAGCCGGTAAGATTGCTCATGGGTTATTCAAGACTGTCTTAACCGTGAGTGGGATAACATATTTACCAAATATAGCTAAATTTGATTTTTACACAAGTATTAAACAAAAGTGGCGTAGTTCTACAAAAATTATTAAATATCTCTGCGATTTATCTTTTTTTTTTTATTTTCAAATTAAAAAAAAGTTGAAAAGCTAATTTCTTTAGGGAGTAGTCGAGGCATGACACCTAGTATGAATGATTGTGTTCAATACGTTCTTGGAAAAGTAACTTTTTATTACGGTGTCTCTTTTACTCAAATAAGAACAGATGAGGAAAAGAAAAGTAAAAAAAACTAGCTTTACAGAGAATGTAAACCTGCTAACATTTACTCTTCATTGTTTTTTTATTTTGTTTTTCAGGAAAAGGTGTTCATTATCTGAAAGATGCTTACCGATGCAAGAGGCATCAGAGGTTGGAAATGATGGAGCCACTAACCTATGAACACTAATGATGAAGAATAAAACCGTCATGACTTAGCCTTTAACCTTTATATTCCCGATTAAATTTTCTTCTTGAAAACCCCTTAAGCAATGTAGAACATATATCTTGATGACTTAATCAGTTTAACCGAGCCAGTGAAAGAGGTAAGACGTTATTATTATGTGGATATATGAGTATTAGAGGGAGACTAATGTTAAATTCATCACCGCACAAAACATCGAATGAAAGAAACGGTAGTAGGAGAGGAAGAAAGCATTTTTCGGATTTCATTAGGTTCCTTATTTGACTGTATACCAAATAGGCTTGAACGTAATTCCAAACGAACTATAATTATTGTAAATGGGTAATTTGATATTTTTATCCAACCCTACTAGTTACTGTTAAAAGAAAAGGAAACTCATTCAAACCTTTATAATATTTGAGCACTTGTAATGTTGCAAAGATTTTATGGCCTAATCTTGAAGATCGATCGATTCTTTAGTGGCATTTATTATATAAGCACCAGTGGGGAAAATGAAGCGAGTCCTGCTTTTTGGTTGGCTACCCCTTCTTAAGAGCGAATCCCTGGAGAGCTAACACTAAAAAACGTAAAAAATTCAAATTAAATTCTCTTTACGGTGACCAACATGTTATCAACTCAGTTGATAAAATCACGTGTCGTTATCATTATGTATTTTTTTCTTCTTTCAATTGCTTTTTTTTTTTGCTGTAATAAATCGTATCTTCCAGACATGGTTTCTCATCAGTAAAACTCGACTCGATAGCCGAGAAATCAAGTTCAGCCCGGTATGTCTGAATTACTTTTAGAACTGATTTAAAGGTTCATTGCTAATGACAACTAACCAAAAGCAACTCACAGGATGTTTTGGAAGTTTTCGTCTTCTGCCTCTTCTAGCCCAGAGAAAAACAAACCCTTGTTTCACTTGTTGGTTGTAAAAAGAAGAAGAAGAACCTTTATTAATTTATACCACACTAAACATATAAATATTACACTAATACAGGTAGTAATATAANTAAAAAAAGGCAAACATAAGATTTAAATAAGCTATTTATTTAAATTAGCATGATTAATAATGAAAATCCGACTAAACAAAATGCAATTTTAGTCTTTTATCATGACCGTCAGGACTGGATCGATAAATGTCAATATGCGAAGAGTAAGCTAAACCGACCTCTCCACTTGTAATAAAGAAAGCCCAAGCTCTGTTCTGGGATTATTTTAGGGACCGTGAATCATTCTCTCATGTATTTGTTTATCAGTGAGGTGATATTTTAAAGTTTTTAGATTGGAAAGACGAGGATGATTCAGAATTTGTTCCAAAGATGGGAAAAAGTGACCACAGTGAACTTCGCTACCAACGAGTAACATTAGCCATTCCACATTTACTCTAATATAACACTTTATTGACTCATCTCTGTGTGCGGAAAACTGGTTTTACAACACTGCTTCTCCCTCAAGGCAAAACCACAAAGCTTCATCGTCATTGTAGCAACGGATTGAGAAGATAAAATCGCCCTAATTTGCAATGACAAAAAATGCGTCAGTAGATACGTCAATATTATTTCGGTAGTCCCAAATTAGTTCGAAATTCAAAATAAATGCTCTGTCTTGAAGAATCGTAACAACAATACCAGCGAAATATTTAGTAGAACATATGATCTGGTTTACTAATCGAATTTGAGATTGAAAATGTGATCTGGTAAACCTAATGTTTGGTTATAATTTGGATATATCAACAAGGTTGAAATGGTAAATTGGCCACCGTAACGATTACAAAAGCTAGCGTTTCGAGTGTTAGCCCTTCGTCGGAGCGAATACGAATTCGCTCCGACGAGGGGCTAACGCTCGAAACGTCAGCTTTTGTAATCGTTACGGTGGCCAATTTACCATTTCAACTTTGTAGATATATCCAAATCATTTCGTTACTCCCACCGACGCAGCCCCAAACAGTTTCTTTCGAAACTATCAGCCTTTATTCTAATGTTTGGTTAATTGAAGGGGTAGATGCAAAATCACGCGATTCATCCTTATAAGGGACCATGGGGATAAGTAGGTTGTATGATTTACTTTAAGACTAATAAAAAGAGGATAAATTTAAGGGGAAAGCAGATTTTTCAGGGGAAACAGAAAGGGGATTAGTCATCGCCAACATAGTATAAATGGGGGGCTATGGAAATTTGACTGCCAATTGACTGCCAAGGTGGGTAGATCATATGAATCAGAGTCATATTGGGTGGTTTAGGTAAATTTTACCAAGACACAATTAAAACCCTCCAACTCCCTCTCCCTTCCCCCCACCCCCCTTCCTCTACCCCTGACCGGTCCGTTAGTTACGGTCACAAATCTTAGACTTGATGACTACGAACGATACCTTGGGGTGGTCAACGATATCGTAGATGCCTTGGTATTTCCACGTTTGGGTTACTGTAACAATAAAGTAAGTCAGTTGTAATCAAAACTCATATTAATGCAGGGCTTGCCATAAAGATTGTTCAAATTCGACAAATTTAGCATATGCAGGAAAAGGGTTCGGTTTGACTATATTTCTGGTAAAAGAACGAGCCTATCTTTATGATTAAGGAACCTATCTTCATGATTAACCTTTACAAGAACATTGCAAGTAGGAGACATTTTCTACAAATTCACTCCAATGTATTCTAAAAAACTTTCTAAACTTTTTGTCGGCAGTCAAGGTTTGTTTTCCAGGCATTCATAATTACAGATTATCAACAAGTTCAAACAAACCTCCTGCTGGAAAATTGCAGAGCTTAAACCCGGCAACGTGGCATTCGGCCTGACTAGACGGGTTAAAAACTTTATCGTTATAAATATGATGGTCTCTCTTAGAGTGGGCTTTTAAGACTATCGTGGGGTAAAAAATGTCGACAGCTGAAATACAAAAAATAAGATAAGAGTTTACTGAGTATTAAAGCAGTCAGTGCATGTCGTTACATGATGATGATATCAACCTTAGTGAATGAAATAAAATGATATAAATAAGTTTTAAAAGGTAGTTACAAGCCAACGTGTAAGTTTAAGGGTTTGGGCATCCCTTTTTAGCCCTAAGAATTGGTCATGTATTTGAACGAAAGGAACTTCGAAACTTCACATGACTGAACTAAAGACTAACTGGCGATGGCTCGTTGAGCTCTCGAATTAAAGTACAACCCAAAAAAAAAAACTAAACATCTCGTCGGTTCAGCATAGTAATCATAAGCGGCAGGAGCCACTTTTACTTAATGGGCTTCTCTCACGAGCTACCTCCTTTGATGAAGTATACGAATTAGGGAGGAAGCGGGTCCAGTTTCTCGCTTTACCTACAAGTCCTACATGTGTGATACACAAGAAAAATGGTATAGCACTGTAAACTAATATGAAAAACTGTCCTTTTGGTCGATGTTTTTGGCCTTAAAGCCAAGCCATTCCAACTCACCACTTTTGAGTGGAACTTACCAGGGGTAAATGTGACACTGATATTAAAATACTTCCCACGTGTCAACACTGGCCCTGGAAAAATCTTCAATTTGAACGTATTATCTGGCGGACCTGAAAAGCATTAAAAAAATGAACGTCACCTACATATCAAAGACTTATTGAAAATACATCCTTTGTAACACAAATTTTAGGCTTAATAGTATATAGGCAGCCAAGCTTCCAACATCGGCTATGAAGGTATGAACCAGAAGCCCAACATAAGATTCTCGAGGAGTTTTACGCAGCAATATATTCGAACGAAAGACTAGGAAGACCACGAGCGCGATAGCTTTGATGTAATGGTTTCTGCTATCGACCGATATCTAACGGAATAATAGTACATATGTTCGATCGATTATTTGTGACTGAGAGTTAAATTAAATCCTTGAACCGAGTTCTTGAAGGAAAAGCTTGACTACTCCGACAACAAGGCAAAGGTAGGCAGCCGAAGCAGTGAGTTGTAACACGAAATAAAAACAACTCTAAGAGGAAAACAGTCATAATTTTTGCTTGTATATTATTCTTAGTAACCACAGGGTTTTTTCTCCTGCAATTTGAGATAATTCTGCGGTTGTAAATTTTTCAAAAACTAAAAATTTTACTTATCCAAGGGGTTCATGGAATTTTGTTAAGCTCTGTAAAATTGCTCGTACTGATTTATCTCAAATTGCACGAGAAAAAAAAACCATGTGATTACCTATAAACATAACCCTGGGAGTTGCGACCTATCACAAACGTCGTCATCCTCATCATCTCATGATCATTTTCGTCGTCATCCTCATCATAATCATTATCATCATCGTCCATTTTACAGATGTAACTCGTGCAAAACTGAAGCTGGATTTCCCCGCCGTTATTTCTCGCGTTAAGTCCTTAATGAAACGACCTCAGACAGAGAATGGGCGGCCACATAATATACATAGTTGAAGGTCAATAAGCGGAATTTCTTGGTCTTACCGCAGTATTTCACTCGTTTGATCTCGATGCCAGCAGACAGCACTCCAAAGGACAGGAACAAGGTTGCAGCCAGGTAATAATTGTTGGAAACCATGACTTCGTAAGAGGTCCAGTATTGTATAATAATATGAAACTGGAAAATTGCAATTTATGTAACTGAGTTTCAAACTACTACAAAAGAAATGAGGTCAAAATTTATTTTTTCCGAAGTTTTTAAATGAGTAGTATTGTTTACATTTTTATATGACCCTTATCAACAGCCATCGTTATTGTCGTTATCCTGGTACATATGGGACGACAGATGTATCCATATAGTGCTACAAGGAATTTGTACCTATACAGCTATCACTAAAGGCCAAAAAATAAATATATTTTTAACAATTCAAAAACCTACCCGAATGATTCACACATTGCTATCAAGTATTGAAGCCCAGAGGCGCTGGGAATTCGCTGTGAAAGGCATCGCGACAAACCAGCTTCGTCAGCCGATCGTCATGAATACACATGCATTACTTGCCCACAAATCAAATTTCATTAAGACACTTATCGATTACGATTTTGAAATCTGAGCAAAGGAAATGACTATCTACTTATCTCTTTTGGAATCGGAGAGAAACCCCACGAACGATCACACCTCCAAATGACACAAGAAATAAAGACATCAATGACTGATGGATCGTGTTATGAACATCTCAGTTTCGATAACGCTAGCCAATTGAAAATGACATTTAGAAAAAAATTAATAATTAAGAAGTTTGATGCATCGAAGGAGCTGCGACTGTTTTGTTCATCTTGATGAAATACAGATACATTCATAATTTAACTCGTCATTTTTTAAAGTCCTTTTTCATATAATTTCTATTCTTATTGGTTTACTCTTGCCTTTCTGGTGTTTGCCTGCTTTCGTGAACTATTTTTGAAAGGTTTCGCTTCTATAATGTGCAACTTTAAAAAACCTAATTAAAAATAATTCAACCATCTTGACCTTGCGCGATATATGAGAGCAGTGAATTGAAAGGAATGAGGTGACTGCAAATAAGAAAGTACAAACCGTCACTTGAACTCGCCCAAAATCAGACTGAAATGACTCTAGACTAACTTGAAATAGTTTCTGCTGCTTAGTTTGTAAACATAAGTCACTGAAAAAAACTTCTTGTTTAGAACAGAAAGAAGTAATGTTAGTAGTTAGATGTCTGAGTTTGCATCAGTAACTTCGTTTGTTATCAATTCAGTACTGTTGAGTGAATGACTAAATGGACATATGAAACTGTTTGAGACGAAAGGTCGAACCGAACATGTATGACGAAAGATGTTATTCGTTTCGTAAAGTCGGCCATGATATTAAGGGTAAAAAAATGCCCTCAGAGAATCGAATTAAGACCTTCGAATTTCGAGCTCTAATGCTCTTTCGCTGAGGGATTTTAAGCTTTCGAAATTGTTAATCCCGCTAAGAGGAAGTAAGACGCATTTCACATATAAACCTAGCGATGACGGTAGATCATCATACCTGACAACAATTCACAATGAAAAAAAAATTGACGATTGAGCATTGTCCCAGTTCCTCTGAAAACTAACTAAAGACAACTGCTTTAAATTTCTTATGGCATAAAAGGTTACGAAAATTTCGAAATATTTTCCGACGCTTTCAGTTCATAAGGTCGTAGCAGTAGCAAGTATGATAAATATTGTAAGAAGTAGACAACTTTTTTGAGAGACATGTTTCGGCATGCTTATGCCATCTTTAATCAGTGAGTAACTGAACGTGAGTAATTATATAACAGACAAGTAGATGAATAAAATATTTACAGTATGATGTAATACAAAAGCGGGTACTAATTACAACGTGACACCAAACATCAAAGGTGTGAACGCTAGAAAAGTTTTATATTGCTGTCATTGTTTGTTAAGTTTGTCTCTACTAGGATAAAGGAGCACACGGAAAGTGATAAAAACTCGCATAGTTTTAAGCATTTCAACACATCTCCTTCTTGTAAGAACAAATACTCGCTTTCTTGCTTTAGTAATCTGGATTCTGCTAACAACTCAATTGATTTAAAACTCAAAGAAGATTTTTATATAAATAAGATCAAACCTGAACTTAACAAACAGTTACAGCATTATAACACTTTTCTAGCATTTTAGTTCACACCTTTGATGTTTGGTGTCACGTTGTAATTAGTACCCGCTTTTGTATTACATCATACTGTAAATATTTTATTCATCTTCTTGTCTGTTATATAATTACTCACTTTCAGTTACTCACTGATTAAAGATGGCATAAGCATGCCGAAACATGTCTCTCAAAAAAGTTGTCTATTGCTTTCAGTTCAACTGTGTTAAGGCTATTTGGATGGATTTGAAGTCTTCAATCTCAATTTTTCTTTATCATCCTGATTGGAAGTTTCTTCTATGCTTTGAAACCGATGGTTCGAAACTGTTGGCTTGAAATGATACTTGCTTGGTTGCAAAAATCTTACAAATAATCTTAAAGGCATCAACCATGAGAACAATTAATCATTGCTCATCACTTTTTAATTGATTTAACTTGTTTAATTGAAGCAGGTCGGACCCATATTTGCGAAAGCTAAGCAAAGTTAGTGGTAGTATCAAAAAATTCGCAATATCATCGTAGCATGGGACGGGTTACCGGTCGTTTCGTATCCAGTCAGTTGAGTTTTTGGCACCCAGCTTGCTCGTTTCGTACCCAGACTAATAAATTGTGTTTTCCATGTTAACCGTTGGAGAAGACATATCACACTCTGACCAAGCATGAATAAAAAATATCACACTTACCTTGCGCGTATCCGGTCGTTTGGTTTTTCGTACTCGGTGGTTTTATACCAAAAAGCTGTCGATTCGTATCCAAGTTTGAGTAGGTTCGTACCCAAGTGTGAGTCGGTTCCAACCCAAACCACTGATCGACTCATGCATATTTTAGGAATACGTCACGTGCCAGCGTGAACAGACGTGAATCGTTGAGTACGGCAAGCAAGTAAAATACAAACAAAACTCTGCTATATATTCTTTTGACCCTCCTGACAAAAACTATTTAATTATTGCCCAACGTTAGATACCTAGCCAGGGTGTTTCCTACCCAGTTTGGTCGTTTCGTACCCTCTCAGTCGAGTCGTTTCGTACCTAGCTCGGTCGGTCGGTCGGTCGTTTTGTAACCAAAAAAAATAGAGTATGTTTTTCCTTGCTAACAATTGGAAAAAAATCATACTTACACCAGCTGTCATTGTTTTAAAAAGTCACAAGTATAAGGAAAAGACTTTTCTATTAAAAAGATATCACACTTGCGAATCGTTCAGGGGTTGGCTACGAGCCGATTCTAACTTGGGTACGGACCGTCTGTATTTGATACGAAACAACTGGGTACGAAACCACCGGATACAAAATGACGCATTACGCTACACAACTTCTCAGACATAATAGTCGATGAACAAACTAAAACGGCATAATATGTATTACATCACGAATTTGACACAACTTTGCAACATATTTTAGATGAGTTACCGACTGTTTTTGTGGTTGGATCAGAAAATATTCCATTCTTCGGCACGTTTCTTTCTGTGGAAGTATGCAGTGTTGGTAATAGTTCCATCGCTTTATTGGTGTAGTTTGAACGTCGTTTGCCCAGGGAATTGTGCTTGTTCCCCGTTTGGCTCAACAAGGATCATAGTCAAGTGCACTGGGATCACAAGAGTACCCAGGGATTTGCCATCAAACACGGTGTCCCTGTATGTAGAATTGACCATTGATCCCTCTAGATAAATTTCATTTTAACATGTAAGCACTCATTAACTTTTTTTGGATCAATAACTGATACTTTCAGTTGATCGTTTCTTTATCGTGGTTTAATTGTATCATTTAATCTTTATCTGTCCTTGAAGGGACCACTCCAGTTGCTCTTCTGGGTACAGATTACATTCAAAAGATACGAGTACAGAAAATATATTATCTCAAACAGTTTAAATAATTATGCAAATCCTATGCTTTGGAAACGAATCGGCTGAAAACATGATTTGATCAGTTTTTTCCTGATCTTTGCTATTCAACCTTTATACTCCTTCAAATTAACAACTATTTGCCTTTGGATTAAAACTACTGACAAGCTGATGTTTCTAATAAAAAATTCCCTTGAGGTTTTTCCCGCAGTGATGGTGGGCTCTCTTACTCTTAGAAATGTGAACTGTTTTATCAAAGACATTTTAAAACTGTTCCTCAGTTCTGCGTAAAGGGGTCGGCAAACTATCTGCGTTTTTGAGCTGAATGCATTTGGAGATCAAATTTCAACCAGCCTACATTCCTTCATAGCGATCTCTCTGGAAACCATTTGAGCTCTATGGAAGAGGACGCCCTCTCGAGTCTGACATTGCTCAAGTACATGTAAGTTTTCATTTTTCGTTCAAAATATTTCTTTCTCTTGGGTAATTTTAACCAACCACGTACCACCTCAAAAAGATCATGGCAGTTAGTGACCAAATAGAGTTAATACTATCGCACTCCACTTTCCTCGAAGACGGACTTCGTATAAATCTTTCAAGGGACGCCACTTTTACAGGTTCACAGGGATGTTTCCTCAAACGTTCCATCTAAGCCAATTGATAATCAGGATGTGAAAAGGAGCACTCCACTTTTTCTCATGTTTCTCCCTAAATTTCTTTCGTGCTTCAAATACCCTCTGCTAACTTTACAACAGAACAATAGAACAACAGACTGGAAAAGAGGCTAGGCTTCATTATTTGATGAGTATTTAGGATTGTTTTTTCTGTGAATGTTCCAACCCGATTGAACTTAATGTTCAACCGTCGTAATACCGAATATTTTCACATTCAGTACGATCTTGATTCGAGAAAATAAACTCTGATATGTAAGAGCATTTCAAATATCTCACAGACAAGAACAGATATAAGCTCTTAACTGATATCAGCCTTGGCAAACCCCTCTCTCATGTCTTTTAGTAGAAATGGTGTTCTTAATATGGATCGACGACAGTGATGCCAGTTACTTTTTGTTTTGGGTTTATGTCTATTGTTATTTACCTTTAACAGAGATCTTTCAAAGAACGATTTGAAATCAGTTCCAGAGAATACCTTCCGAAGAAATCCGCTTCGTTACATGTAAGAGAAGAGCTTTTTTGTTTTGTCATAACACAGGTTAAGAGGAAGAGAAGCTAAAAAATTATTATTAATATTATTATAATAATTATGTCTAAATTATTTTATATCATGAGCCAGATGTTCCGGAACATTGCGTAAATCTTATAAATTATGTTTTGAATGTGTTGAAAACATTATGTAGAAGAGGTTGTGTAGCGTGATGCGTCATTACCTTCCTAATTAAGTTACGCTTTGGTTGGGCAGCAACAGTTAAAAGAAATATCTAAAGCTTAATTTATGCTATTGTAGCTTTGTACACAACCTCCGAATCGTTTCCTTCGAGGGAGTGCAAAACTTAAGTTGTGTAATGTTGTTACCTACCTCAAGGTAAGTAAGTATGTTGATGCAAACCTGAAATTCATAGCATGAAAACCAAGTTCTAATTACCATAAAATTATCAACGCCAAATTAAACAGATATGTAAAATAAACTATATTATACATATTAGTATAATTTCAGAGCTGAGCAAAGAGTTTCCAGCAATCTGATTGGTCGAGCGGTTCCTTTTATGACGCTATATAAACCGCTCCACGCGGTTTATATAAAATGTTCAAATGAAATGTTAATAAATGTTACCAAAATGTTATGATTTTAGAAATTTCTCTGTTGTTCAGCTTTAAAATTATACTAAAACAATTATTCGCCTCAGGCTCGGTGAAAATTGTCGAATAATTCCCTCGACTTCGTGTCGGGGATTATTCGACGATATTCACCTCACCTTCGGTGAATAATTGTTAAATATAACAAACTGTGCGAAAATATGACATAGTTATGACTAAGAAGATTAAGGGGAGATGAATTACTACCGAATAAAGTTAATAGTGATTTAAGGGGTCATTCTCATCGATAAAAATCTTGTTCATAACATCCAGCTGCGTCTCAAACATTTTTCTTGCTTTCAAAACTTCAGCGCGCTTCATNAATAAACTATATTATACATATTAGTATAATTTCAGAGCTGAGCAAAGAGTTTCCAGCAATCTGATTGGTCGAGCGGTTCCTTTTATGACGCTATATAAACCGCTCCACGCGGTTTATATAAAATGTTCAAATGAAATGTTAATAAATGTTACCAAAATGTTATGATTTTAGAAATTTCTCTGTTGTTCAGCTTTAAAATTATACTAAAACAATTATTCGCCTCAGGCTCGGTGAAAATTGTCGAATAATCCCCTCGACTTCGTCTCGGGGATTATTCGACGATATTCACCTCGCCTTCGGTGAATAATTGTTAAATGTAACAAACTGTGCGAAAATATGACATAGTTATGACTAAGAAGATTAAGGGGAGATGAATTACTACCGAATAAAGTTAATAGTGATTTAAGGGGTCATTCTCATCGATAAAAATCTTGTTCATAACATCCAGCTGCGTCTCAAACATTTTTCTTGCTTTCAAAACTTCAGCGCGCTTCATATCTCGGTTAGCGCATGCTGGGGTTTGGACCAATTTCGAAGGGTTTTTGTCTTAATTAGAAGAAAACATAAAAGCAAATCCTAAGACTCATCAGTTAAGCTTCAGTTTCAAACTTATTTTATTTCATGAAAAAGTATTGCAAGAGAAAGAACGTCTTTCAACCCAAGTTGTTTTATGCTATCGCAGTTGTTCACAAGCTTGCCGTTCACTGCACAAAATAACTTGCGAGCTTTGAGGTATCCCTCTCTTCGAGAGGTCGCAAAAGTATAACGACTGTATGCTAGGAATGTTAGCTACCATTGCTTTAAAAACGAACCTAAACTGTAATTTCTTATTTTCACTTTCTAACTGAAACTATGAACTTATATTTATAAGTTATAGCGAGTAAAAAATAGGCTTCAGGGGTTTTTACAATAATCATAAGCCCAACTCACATTTCAATTCTTGAACCAAGTCAAGTCAAGTTTATTGTGTGTATACGCATAGCTTTTGTGAGAAAAACTCACTAGCTAGTTTACAGGTATAAGACAGAAAATGAAAGATAGAAACTAAAATTGAGAAAAAATACCTTCAACAAGGAACTTAAAAGATATGTTTAAAATTTAAAATTTAAATCTATGTACAGGACCGGATATAACTTATTCATAAAATAAAATTAAGCTAAGACTAATTAAGAATCACAAGATATAAATTTACGATCATATCAAACCAGAGAAAAAAAGTGAAGAACAAGATTTAAGCACAAAGCTAACAATATTTCGTACCCACTGTTAGCTGAATTAATTATTGTAGACGGAAAGCTGGCCAGTGATCCAGAGCGTGTCAAGTTTCTCTCATAATCATCCTCGCTCATCAGCAAGCCATGTCATTAATTAATTTCAAAACTAATTTGTGTATTTACTTTTCATGTTTTTCATCTGAAGAAATCTTGGTAACAATGCAATACAAGGTGGATTTTACCTCCCCAAGAGCGTCAGAAAACTGTACGAGTCATCCATGTTGTTTTTCTACTTGCTGTACTTATACACGTAACTCGCTTAAATAAACATCAACTGTGCTCAAACTAGCAAACCCCTCATCATTTATGGTATTCAAAGCAAGCTTTTGTCTTGGCTTCATCACTTTCATGACGACTGGACTTTTTCTTTCATCCAGAATTGTTTTAGTTTAAATACATCTGATATTGACTAAACATCTTTCGTTTTTAATTCTGACATTTTGTATTTTACGTTTCATTTCTTTCAGCTTCGTCCTCCATAATAAGCTATCGTATGATGACATGAGAGTTATTCTGAAAGGTCGTAAGCGTATCACTCAGCTGTAAGTACGGTAATAGTTCTTGCAATTTTCTTTTTCATCATTATTATCATTATAATCATTTATTTTATCTATTCTAAATATGCATGACCTTTTTTTCAACTGTCATGCCTGTTTACTCTCACAGAGACATCTCAGGAAATCAGATTGGACCCAACCTGACAGCCGATCTTTTTGATGGCTTTTGCAATATGTCCGTTTTGTAAGTTTTTAAATGCAGGAAAATGTTGCGCAATTAAATACTAAGGAATTGACTGAGTTTAAATTTCTTATTTTTGTTGTATTCATTAGACATTTGAGCCAGTGTGGACTTAAGTACATTGAAAACGGAACCTTCAAGGCAATGAGGAAATTGACGCTGCTGTAAGTTTGTGAACTTTAATGTTCCAACCAGTCTGCTTTAAAATTCAGTCAAGTTTTAATTATGATTTTGATATAGAAATTAAATTTGTCGATTCTATTTCCTTTTTTCAGAGACCTAACCAGCAACACATTGTCATATGTTTTATCTGGCATCCTGGAAGGACCATCGGAGGAGTCTCTTAGCTTGTAAGAAACCAAATAATTCCTGACTATTTTTTCCCAATCATCTCAGCGGTCCGAATCCTAAATCCTCGAATCTGATTGGCTAATTCCGCGCGCTTCAGCAGTCTGGGTTTTCCCACTGTCTTGGATACCGCTCTCGGCCAACGGCCTTAGGTGGAATCGAAGACCTTGGCATAGTTTTTCCTAATACGGACCTCCCGGCTGGTAAATAACATAATATGTAATTACGAGATCTTCACTTTGAAATTTTAACGTCATTGAATCTTTTTTTGTAAACGTAACAAACTGTTCCCACTTTTTGCGTGGTAATCAAGTTGAGACAAGTTCTGTTGTCGGTGCAAGCATGTCACATAATCTGAATAGAGTAATGTAAGACCCCGCTTTCTTTTTTCCTTTTTTTCCAGGGATTTAAGTTACAACGAGTTGACGTCTGTGCCGAGTTTTAACGGTCTTTTAAAGCTGAAAGACTTGTATGTGATGAGTAGCGTTAGATTAAATCGTTTTAGTAAAAAAAAAAGTCTTTTTATAGGATTTTTCAATTACTGGTGAACCAGGAGTTTCCATTGTGGTCCTTGCAAACAAATGAAACAAATGGTCTAAATTGAACATAACATCATTAAGAACATCATTAAGAACCCCAAATGACCGGAGGCAAACCAGTTGGCTATTTACAAGCGTGGCCAAGAGTCTGAACTCGGGGCTACCGTGAAACAAATCCAGTGGTCAGGGTGGGGACTCGAACCCGGGACCGGCGGATTACGAGTCCGACACTCTAACCACTCGGCCACATTGCCTCCATTACCATGTCGACTTTGCCGATAATGCCACACTCATCGAATAACACTTCCCAGATTATGATCTTAAAGTGATTCTCCATTGTGAAGCAGTATGAGCCTTCTTACATTCAGGCGCGTGAAATGGCCATTAGATGGTCAGTTTTCAGGCATCGTGCATGGATAACTGCTGTTGTGGAACCTCGGCAAGTTAACGCCTTAAAGTTCACTTAGGCTCAGCCTTCCCCTTTTCGTTATAGAACAAGCTTTCGTCATCTAATTCTATTTTTTCTCTTTTATTTCAGCGGTATTATCGGAAACAAAATCACCGACATTTCGCACCTTCGCTACTCAACCATAAGATACATCCGAGATCTGTGAGCAAACACCAATGCATTGAATTCCTCAGTTATTCTTTGCCGCGCTCTCAGGCGGAAAGAACTTACTGATGAAAATAGACTAAATAAACCTTTTTCTTTTACTTAAAATTTGGCGTGAATATTTTCCAGAATCGGACGAAATAATCAGATCGCACAATTGCCAGTGGAGGTCTTTCAGAAGTTAAATGTTACAAATACTTTGTAAGTTTTAACACGTTTATTCATAAACACTTGGAAGAGTACGTAGTTCCTTGGCATAATTCAGCTAACTTATACTTTCTTATTCCATACTTCGCTCATTTAAATGATTGACTGCCTTTCTCCCTCTAACTGTCGGTTTCCTTTTTCAAAATTTATTCGACGATTCACATAAATTTATGTTTGAGAATTTAGTCCAATACGGTGTAAATGGGGAGTGTGTTTCATGCAGAAACTTCAACTGACCGCACGTAAGCTCATCGAGTAGAAGAAGCGGTTGGTCTCTGGCAAGGATAAAGAGATCTCGGTTCGAGTCCCAGACGATTAATTTTCTTGTGGTCTTAGGCCATGCGCAAGTCACACCCAGTAGCACCATAGTATGCTGAGGTAAATCTAAACCAAGGAAACCCTGCGAAATGGTGGCATTTTACCTGCAATTGATTCCGATCCTATCATGGAGGGTTAAACGCTGCGGTCAAATGCAAGACAAATTTCTTTTGACAGCCTAAAAGCACTCTACCAATTCGTTACAATATTTTCACATGCACAGACGTTTGACCGCTGTACTAGAATATGTTGCGTCAATGTTGACCTTTAACTTGTGCGCTGACTCTTCCTTACCTCGTAATCTCCAGTAGCCACAAGGACTGAAAACTGATCATTCTACTTATTTCCTTCCCCACTTATCTTCGAATTCGACTCCGAAAGTGAAAAGACCTGACATAAATTGAAAAAGAAATATTAGACTTTCATTCTCTTACTTCAAAAATTCGTGCACCCAGCGTTGATGACAATATATTTGCTCCTTCACGCAACTAAGAACTTCTTCTATCTCAATCACTTTTTTATCGACAATTCCATTTTTAGAGATTTGTCCTACAACAGCCTCCGGACCATCCCAGATGAAGCTTTTTCTGCCTGCAAGCAGCTGACCAAGTTGTGAGTGAAAAATAAATTAGTAAGGATGATTTCTAGAGACAATGTTTACATGCCCTACTTTTTTATAATAACTATAGAAAGTGAAGATGGTCAATGTTAAACCCGGCGATTTGAGCGAAAAAGGATGTTTCAGTAAATGAAAAGGCATACTCCCATTAGTAGGTGCTCTACCAGTGAGTTATAAGAGACTCGTGACAGGCTCGGCCATTTAGCCAGGTCCATGGCCATCGCGACAAACTTCCTACATATTAACAACAAACATATGAAACATATGTGTGAACTGCGGTTATGAGACGTATATGAGCACGATCCTTCGCACTAAAGCACTATTTGAGCAATAGTGAAAATCAGACCTGAAAAAAATTTCAGGCCTGTACGGGATTCGAACCACTGACCTCTGCGATACTAGTGCAGCGCTCTACCAATTGAGCTAACAAGCCAACTGGGAGCAGGCCATCAAATTAATTCGACATAAACCCGTAGATGATAAATCAAACAACAAACATATGAAATACATATATATGAACTGCGGTTATGAGACGTATATGAGCACGATCCTTCGCAGTAAAGCACTATTTGAGCAATAGTGAAAATCAGACCTGAAAAAAATTTCAGGCCTGTACGGGATTCGAACCACTGACCTCGCAGTTGGCTTGTTAGCTCAATTGGTAGAGCGCTGCACTAGCATCGTAGAGGTCAGTGGTTCGAATCCCGTACAGGCCTGAATTGTTTTTCAGGTCTGATTTTCACTATTGCTTAAATAGTGCTTTACTGCGAAGGATCGTGCACATATACGTTTCATAACCGCAGTTCATATATATGTATTTGATATGTTTGTTGTTTTATAGACTCTTATGCTTAGTGGGCGAGAGTCAGACATGTCGATTGACCTCATTTCATAATTACTGATTTAAAGAGTTTTGTATGAAAGCGAGTCTCGCAGTAATAAACCCTGCTTATGTAGTAGTGGAAATGAGGCCTGAAAAAAATTCAGACCTGTACGAGATTGAACCCTTGACCTCTGCGATACCATTTTGTTGGTTCGCATTAAACCCGTCCAAGTGATAATTCAAATCATTGACTTTGACGGGTTTAATACGAACCAACATAATGTCGACTAGCTCCTATGAGCACTACACCGGAATTGCAGAGGTCATGGGTTCAAATCCCGTATGGATCTGAATTCTTTTCAGGCCTGATTTCCAGTACTATATAAGTAGGGTCTATTACAGCGAGGATCGCTTTCATACATTTTATGAAACTGCAGTGCACAAATATGACTTTTATATATTCAAATCCATTGATTAAAGTATCTTATTTCCTCAGGTTTTTAAATTTTAATAATCTCTCACATATTACAAGGCAGACCTTTGCTGGACTAAAAAGTCTGAAGCTGCTGTACGTATTACATTCTTAAACTCATATATAACTACAGAATACAAAATCAAAATCATTTTACACGATTTCCACGGGTCTCCGCCTCATCATCTTCAGTCAACTCGTGAAAGTGAAAAATTTGAAGATATAACAACTGTATTCCGCCGGAAAGACTTGGAGCTGATGTTGAGGCCTCGAATTGATTGACGCATAAGTTGTTTAAAAGACAGCCTCGTCTTTTGTCAAATGTTTAGCACATTCCAAACAATTTTCTTTAAATGATACATTCTTTTGTTTTGAAGGATGCTTACAGGCAACAATCTGACGTCTATTCATAAAGACACTTTTGCTGACACCTCTTTGGAAGTGTTGTGAGTAATCTAATTTGGCTGTGTTCTTGTGAAAGTGTAGGTAATCACATGATTTCGAGAGCAATTTGGGACAAATCAGCACGAGCAAATTTTTCAAAGGCTTACCAAATAGCGCAAGCCAGCAGGACGCGTGAAAGTTGTTGTCTTTGAAAGATTTACGAGTGCTGATTTATCCCAAATTATTCCAAAAAAATTCATGTGATTACGTAATTGTCAATAAAAAAATCTGCACGCAAACATTTGACTCTGTTTCAGGCAAGGAGCTGAGTTTGTGTTTTACTGGTGCGGCTGCTTGCCTTCGTGTTGTTACCGGAGTAGTTGGGGTTTTCCTCCAAGAATTGGCTTCGAGCCTTTAAACTCTCTGTCAGGAATAGCTGAGTGTTTCCAGTCTTTCTCAGTTAGAATTCGCTTAATAGTGGTAACCGATGCACAATGGCTGTCACGTTCGTAATTGAATCCCTATCTTTCGTACGAACTATTGCGTAAACTCCGAGAGAATATCGCTCAGGGCCTCCGGTACCTTTGCTTCAAAACCTTTGTCATAACCGATTTTGGAAGCCCGAGACTTCTCGACTTTTAGTCAGGTTTTGCGCGTTTTTGGGTGATTTTGTTCTGGATTAAAACGTTACTTTCTCCTAACGTGTCCGCCATTATGTTTTGTTGTGCTTTCGTCACTCTTAATTCAATTTCAACTTTCTGCATTTGTTTTCAACTTTCATCACTGTTTAGGATAAATAGACGTGTTCTTAACTAATGAGCATGCCATTGTTTTTGCGTGCGTATTATTGATATGAATTACAGAACCGTTCACGTTTAGATCAAAACTTGCATTCAAACAGTAACATATAAACTTTAAAGGGAAACTGAACCCCAAAAATTAACCATTTTTAAATTGCAGCTTATAGTTCAAATAGCAATGTTCGAGGGTTTGTTTGCAGTCTTTGAGCCCAACTTCGCCTCGGAAAAATAGTTTAAAGTGGTATTTTGGCCTCGTAGTACGGCGGCTCAGAAAAGTGATGTCAGCGGTCATTTTAGCTCGCTCTTACGTCACTGGTGGGGAAGAAAGATAATAAACCTGTACTCTTCCTACAGAAATTTGGTTTGGTTATGGAGGTATCGAAGTTGCGTGACCTGTAATGGGGATTAACTACGAAAATGAAATAGTAACAGTTGTTTTACTTAAGTTGGTTCCCCACCACTGACGTCATAAATGACCGCTGCTGACCTATTTTGAGCCGACGGTCTTACAGCCCAAAAAGCGGAAAAAAGGCAACTTCAAATCGAATTTTCTCGT